CGAAAAAAGGGGAATAGGGGGCGTTCGCCGCCCTCCCCCCCAACAAACTCCGAAAAAAAAAGATAATAGGGGGGGGTTTTGTGAGTCTCCCACTTAGTAGCCATAGGGGGAGGGGGGGGGGAATAGGGGGTTTGGAAGCTTTTTCCATATCAAGGCAAAAAAGCAGGGGGATGATGGGGGGTTGAGGCACTTCTCCCATACACACACAGAGCCGGGGGGGTAGGGGGGTTAGGGGCGCCCCCACCCTGTCACACACAGAGCAGGGCCGATCAGGGGGTTAGGGGTGCTGCACCTTGTCACACACAGAGCAAGGCCGATCAGGGGTTTGGGGCACCACACCCTGTCACACACAGAGCAGGGCCGATCAGGGGTTTGGGGCACCACACCCTGTCACACACAGAGCTGCAGGGCGATCTGGGGGTTGGGGCGCCGCACCCTGTCACACACAGAGCTGCAGGGCGATCAGGGGGTTGGGGAGCTCCCCCCTATCAGGCACAGAGCAGGGCCAAACAGGGGGTTGAGGAGCTCCCCCCTGTCACGAACAGAGCAGGGCGGATATGGAGGTTGTGGCCCCGCCCCCCTGTCACACACAGAGCCGCAGGCGAATTCAGGGGGTTCGGGCACTGCCCCCTGTCACGCTGATCCCGGTGTCGGGAGGCCTCACGGCTCCGCTGATCCCGGTGCTGGGAGGCATATTACCCTTTTACTATATAGAATAGAGGCCTGGTGCACGGGTGGGGGCTGGCTGGTTTGCCCTGAAGGGTGTCCTGGATCAGGGTGGGGGTCCCCACTGGGGTGCCTGGCCAGCCTGGGTGAGGGGCTGAGGGCCGTTTTCAGGCTGGCGTGTGACTGAAGTTCCCAACCGCTCCTTTTTTTCTTTTTTCTTTTATTCTGGGCCAGCTTTAGCTCTGAGGCCTCGGCTGCTGAAAACAGGTTTCTGGCCTTTATTTACCTTCTGTATTTGATACAATGTTGTGGTCCGGCTGGCTGAAGCCCAGCTGACTAAAGCAGGTTTTTGGGGTTTTGTTTAGCTTCTATATTCGCAACATAGTTGCTTAGAGTTGCAGCTGAGAGGCCGGCAAGTCAGGCGGGGAACGTTGGAGTCCGCCGTCACTGGAGCAAGCAAGCCTCCCTGTTCACTTCAAGTTGCCTGGCTGCCGGCCGCCATCTTGGCTGGCAGTTAATTTGCATATCACCCTGATTAGCCAATGGGAAGGGTAGCGGATGTATGGCTAATTACCATGTTTCTCTTTTATTAGATAGGATACATAGATACTGCATATATTTCCTTATTGGCAAGTCATACAGAAAAAGTCAGTTTTTAGAGAAGAAAACTGGAAAGTAGGAAAGATATTAGAGAGTATGATTCTAGTGTACGGCTGTCATTCATCCAGGCACACGGAGTTTCAGGACTCCTGTCAGGAACATTAAAATGACTGAGGGTGTGAACTAATAACACCTATTGTCTAAATCCTGTTTGAAAACGTTTTGACTTCTAAAAAAATATGGACACTAAACGTTGAAATCTCATATTTTCTCAGGAGCAAGTTACAAGTAAGTAAAACTTCATGTATTTTTGGAATAGCTAATATGGAGGTATTTTGATATTAAATAACAAATAGAAAATTTAAGAGAGCAATTCACTTCTTGGACCAGACAGTGTGTAAACTGTTGATTTGGTTTTTGCTCACAGTTATGCTTTCCCTGATCACTTTAAATTTACAAAGTCTCAGTTCACCTGAGCTACTGAACAAAACTGGCAATCCCTACATTTTACATACCTCATATCTGTTTGCCCTCCCCCTCCCATCGGGCATCAGGAAAAAAAAATCAAAATCAGACTGTGAAAGCAAACAGCAAGCACTATTTATCTGTCAAGCACATTTTCCTAAAGTTTGTCAAAATAAAATTGAAGCACTCCTGCTTGACAATTAATTTTTCAAAAAGTTGCCACATTCCATATAATTATTTTATTTTTACTCAGAGAAGAGCGCAATTATACACTCCAGATTAGTAAGAAATACCATTCATTCTATGGACCCAAACTACTGAAGCACATTTGGATTATAATTACTGCTACCAAGTATGCAGGCCCTGACTCAAAATTTTAAAATTTTAAGAATAGGCAATAATCAATTTCTTACTCAATACATACTTAAAGGATGACATGCTTGTCTTCGATAGGAAGTCTACAGTGATTGTGAACATATCAATTACATATTATACACATAATCTACATATTGTAGATTTTTTCCAGTTTTCAACTTGAAAGTAGAAATTAAATACCAAACCAGAGAGTTAAAAAATCAGTCCAAATCTACTAAATTATGTTTGGACTAGGATCTGAATTCTGGTTGCTGATTTTTTCACAGTTTAAAAACCATACGTCTTCCAGCTTAATGGCAATCCAAAATGGAAATTAATGGATTAAAAAGCTGTGGTATATCTATACAATGGAATACTACACAGCTGTAAAAAAGAAAGAACTTTTACTATTTGCAACAACATGGATGGAACTAGAGAGCATTATGCTAAGTGAAGTAAGCCAGTCAGAGAAAGATACATATCACATGATCTCATTCATATGTGGAATATAATGAACAACATAAACTAATGAACAAAAATAGACCCAGAGACATAGAGATATGATCAGACTGTCAAACCACAGAGGGTATGCAGGGGAATGTGGAGGGGGTGGGGGGGAGACCAACCAATGAAATCATGTGCGTATGTGCATAACCCATGGACACAGACAGTAGGGTGATGAGGATTGGGGGGGAAGAGGGGTTGGAGAAGGCAATGGTGGGGGAGGGAAAGGGGACATATGTAATACTTTCAACAATAAAGATTTATTTTTAAAAGTAGAAATTATAAGTAGCAAGCATGAGAAATGTACCAACATTATACATATTTGCTATTTCAATTTTTTAAAAATTTATCTTTATTATTGAAAGTACTACAGATGTCCCCCTTTTTTCCCCTTTGACCCCTTCTAGTCAATTTTTTAATATAAGTGATTTTTGTGGTGGAAAAGTGAAGCGAACTATAAAAATAAACACTAGGCTGTTTCAAGTGAATAAAAATTTGAGGACAAGTGGGATTATAAACTACATTTTTCACTCTTTCTTGGCTGTTTTGTTTCTCACTATTATCTAGGACTACACTTATTAAATTCTTATGAGAGTTCTAACTTAGAGGAAAAGCAAATTAAAGTATTAGAAATTCAGGTAGGTAACAAACACAGCAATGAAAGTGATGTAGTAAAAAAAAAATCAGTTACATTATTTCACAGTCAACAAGTAAAATAGATCTTGATTAAGCTGAGGGAATAGTGGTAAACTTAATTTAACTGAAATCAGGGAATCATTCAACCATTTGAAAAATATTTATTGTTCACTTGTATTAAGTTTCCAATGCCAGTTGCTATGGGAATATAGGGGGAAAGTATGGTCTCTGTCTCCCAGTAGCTCCTTGTATAATTTTTTACAATTCTTAAATAATAAACATCTCTATTTATTCCAGAACAGAATTCCTTATTTCTTTTTAAAAATATTATTATTTCTCTTTTAAAGACAGAAAACTTCTATCTAAAATATCTTTTAAATGTGGAAGTGAGAACAAAATAAATCTTTAATATAAAACTTCATTGAAACAAAGTCAACACTAATTTTGAAAAACAAAACTTGTAAATTCCATTACCTTTTCTCTTGATCCTCCATGTTTTTCTTATCTGCGTAGATTTCTGCATAGAGTAATGCCGTAAAGTGAGCAGCACAAGACTGAGCTACCTTGGCAACTTCTAGATAATTCAACTCCAGCCAGAAAGCATCATCAAACACTGTTCCTGAGGAAGATCTAAAGAAAAATTCTAAATGAAGTCAAGTCCATTTCTTTAACTTTAATATTAAAAGAAAAGTATACGGATAGGAAATACAATGGAAGCAAGTACTAGTTTAAAAAGAATATCACATTCAAATAACCAAGAACCACATTTTCCCAATATGTAGTCGTCCCTTGGTATTTGTGGGGGCTGGTTCCAGGACCCCAGGCAGATACCAAAGTTCACAGATGCTCACGTACCTAATATAACATGGCACCGTATTTGCATTCCTGTATACTTTAAATCATGTCTAGATCACTAAAATATCTAACACAATGTAAGTGCTATATGAATCATTGTTATACAGTATTGTTTATGGAATAATGACAAAGAAAAAAGTCTGTACATGTTCAGTACAGATGCAACCATCTTACTACATATGACATGTCAGCAACGAGGTAAAATTTCTTTTTTCGAGTATTTTTGATCTGCAGTTGGTTGAATATGTGGGTGTGGAACTTGTAGATGTGCACTCATGGGTATGAAGGGCCGACTGTATCTATAAACAACTAAGATAACATGGCTGAGGAGCCCTAGGTGTCAACCTTTTTGGATCAGACACCCTTAGAAAATCTGATGAAAGCTGTGGTCTATCATCCTATACAAACTTGGGGTTCATACTTCCCCTCCACCAAGGGCTATTTGGGCCATAAGCTAAGAATAAGCTACACAGAATAATAATGCATACACAAATCTTTTAAATGGCCAATTTAATAAAAAATTATTTATTTCTTCTAAGTCACGGTTACATGTCCTTCCTGTCTGCAGTTCATTTCCTCCTTAGTTTTTTTGTCTAGGTTGAGTTATTTAATAAAAACCTTCCACTGTGGTAACAGTGGGCCAGAAATGGACAGGATCATAGATATTACCTTTTTCTGAACGAACATTATAGAGATGTGATATGGTTAAGAACTCTGGATTTAGAGTAGGATACAGCTAGGTTCCAAACCAGCTGGATCGCTTACTACAAACTATCATCTCCAGCAACTTAACTGCTTAAGCCTCAGTTTCCTCACTTGTGAAACCTAGGAACAATATATATCTCCGAGAATAGTTGCAGTGAGTAAATAATGCTTATAAGGCTAATAATAAAGTGCCTATTATACAGTCAACATTTAATGACAGCTCTTCTGAGGAACTTGAAGTTCAGAGATTACAAAGTTTCAAAGTATCAGGCTTGGACTTGAACTCAGGTCCCTTACCCTTTAGTCTATGTCTCATTCATAATCTCTCAAGGAATCTTCTTTAGTCTTATTCAGAGTTAAAACTGAATATTAAGAATTTTTATCTTCTCCCGAGGCCTACGACTGTAAACCCCATTCTACTTCGATGATAAACCTGGAATTAATGATTCGAAGGTGAAACTGCCTCCCACTACCGAGAAAAGAGATGCTTCTGCAATAGTTAGAGCTTAAGGGTTTTCTCAGAATAGAATCTTTACAAAGCAGGCAGGTGAATCAGTAACTTTCTCACTAGAAACGAAGACACTGAAAGGCCCAACACAACACTTCTTCTAAAAAGGGAGTAGAACGGTATGAGGAGAACACAGAGGAATTTATTTTATTTTTTTGTTAATCCGCATCCAAGGATATTTTCTCCATTGATCTTTAGAGAAAGTGGAAAAGAGGGAGGGGGAAAGTGGGAGAGGGAAAGAAGGAGAAGAAAAAAAAAAACGTGTGTGTGTGTGTCAGGGATCAAGCCTGCACCCTGACCAGGAATGAAACCAGAGACCCTTTGGTGCATGTGCTGATGTTCCAACCACTGAACAACACCAGCCAGGGCCAGAGGAATTAATTTTTAAGACATAAATGTATTTAGGTTAAGCATAACTTTTCACTTTTCTCCCACATCTTCCTCCCATCCTTAATCAACTACTGCCATACCACATGAGACATTAATTCCTACCTACTTAAGTTATAGGCCTACTACATTATTTCTTCAAAGTTCAGGTTAACTCTGGAGCGGTATAGATCAGTCAGATGACTGACTCACTCCAGCAATTCTTGTACTCACTGTTAATCTCATGAGAAATAATAGGGAGAAAGATATGGTATTGTAGCCTGGCTGGTTAGCTCAATTGACTGTGGTCCTAATGTGCCAAGTTGCGGGTTCAATCCCCGGTCAGGGCACACACAGGAGGCAACCAATGAATGAATGAGTGGAACAACAACAATGTTTCTCTCTCTCTTTCTCCCTTCCTCTGTCTCTCTGAAATAAAATAAAAATAAAAATTAAAAACAAAAAGATATTATATTTTAAAACAACTGATCAGAATCAAGAAAATAAACACAGCCATTGCAGAATATTACTGTATAGAACCATTGATTTTGAGGACCATAATACACAGTAAAGTGATAAAGATTATGGCTGGGGGGGGAGGGGTCTATGGGAGGAGCTAAAGCTTATGAGAGGAGTTCTCGCACTCTATGCCATAGCAAGAACCCTACAGGAAGAACTTTATGCTTACAATAAAGCTCAATGGTGGTAACTACCCCTCCCTTAACTTCCTTTTTCCCTTCTATAAATACCTCTCTATCTTGCACCCTGTGCAGGGTGTACAAGTGGTTTGCCATGTCTGCATGCACTGAGTTGCAACCCTTCAACCCTACATTTTTACAAAATAAATCCTTTTTTTGTGACAAAACACCTAGTAGATACTGTTTTTCCATGGACAAAAGAAACATATCTTATAATAAAGGAACATAAAGGAGACTTTTACATAACTGTAGTTACTTTTATGAGTTATAAAAAAGAAAAGTAAAAAGTTAAAAGTAATGCAACCCAAAGTAACCTGGAAAATAACTTACTCCCTCCCCATCACTTTGTAGATTAAATAAACTGAAGCCTCAAAAGGGTGCATGATTTAGCAAAGATAACACTGTCACTGACAGTTAGGACTAGAATTCAGAGTTCCTGACACTGATTTACTAGTAACCAAAGTACTACCCTAAATAGGAATTATTACAACAGATATAAGCAATAACACAAATTAAATACAGCTCCTTGCAACCACATCACTTCAAATAATCATGTTAAAATGCAGCCAACAGTAGCAAGTTACACTTCCAAATCCCCAAACTCAAGGAGCAATATTCATTACTTACCTCTTTTGTCTCCTCAGGTAGTCCACAACAGCAAGCATTGTTCTTTGTGATCTTTTATCCAAGCAACATCGGGAAAAGTGCTCTGGCTCTGGCAAACAAACAAAAATATCTCCTCAGTCCCAGGCGGACTGCTTAAGCACATTCTTGTTTTGGTTGGTGTATCTGTCTCCCTCAACACCAGTGGTTCCCACCCTTTTTTTGGCCATGACCCCCCACCTAATCATCTCTAAAATCCTGATGTTCCCCTCCCGCTGCGTGACATATAATTCTTATTATTCAAAAAGTGAATTCCTATTCATGTGGAGGAAGCCTAAAAGGCCATTAACCTGGTCTAACCAAGCTTCCAAAGAACATGGAGTCCACGAAAGAGAAAAGTAAAAGAACGAAAGGACACCTGAAGTACTGAGGAAGAAATCACTAAAAAATTGTTAAAAAAAAAAAAAAGAAGTGATATGAAAAAATAGCAAGTAAAGTTTCAAAACGTTTAATAGAGAACTGAAATGCATAAATATGTCACATTATATTTATATACTGTATATGAAGCCCCTAGAATCAAAAGAAAGAATTCACTGTTAATAACTCATTCTCGAATTGCCCCCCTTAAAAAACAAATTGCCCCCCTCTGAGGCTTGTGCCCCACGTTGGGAACCACTGCTTTACACTATTAAAGGTTCTGTGGGCAGAACCTAGCACAAAATTGTTTCTTAATAAATATGAATTAATAAATGAAATTTAATGGCTTTCTTTTTCTTTTAAAAGAAACTATTGTGCTTAATATAACTGAGAAATTAATTGTAATTTTATTTCTGAAGGAGACTAATTCATTGATTCAATAAATATTTATCTAGGATCTTTTATGTACTAGGTACAATATATAACTATGAATAAGACAAAGTCTGACCACCTAGAACCCACTAATTAGCCTGAGAGATTCTTTTTGTTGTTGTCGTTAATCCTCACCTGAGGATATTTTTCTTTTCTTAAACAAAGAAATACACACACACACACACACACACACACACACACACACATATTATTTCAGAGTGGAAGGGAGAGGGAGAGAGAAATATCAATGATGAGAATCATCAATTGGCTGCCTCCTGCACACCCCCTACTAGGGATGGAGCCCACAACCTGGGCTTGTGCCCTCATCAGGAATCAAACCATGAGCTCCTGGTTCATAGGTCGACACTCAACACTGAGCACACCAGCAGGACTAAGAATATTTTTTCCATAGCCTTTCAGAGAGTGGACGGGAAGGAGGCAGGAGAAGTGAGAGGGAGAAGGGGAGAGAGAGAAAGAAAGAGAGAGAAACATTGATGTGAGAGACATCAATTGGCTGCTTCCTGCACGTGCCCGGACTGGGCCAGATTAAACCTGCAACTGAGGTATATGCCCTTGACTGAGAATCGAACCAGAGACCCTTTGGTGTACAAGCCAATGCTCTGAGAAACACTGGGCAGGGCAGAGATTCTTAATACACTAAATACTATGTATGATAGGAAAAGTTTAGAATACTGTAGAGGAGTATAGAAAGGAAGGCAATCTCAATGAGAAAAGTTTCACAGCAAAAGTGAGATCTGGGCCCCAGCCAGTTTGACTCAGTGGATAGAGCGTAGACCTGGGGACTAAAGGGTCCTGGGTTTGATTCCGGTCAAGGGAACATGCACGGGTTGTGGGCTCGATCCCCAGTGGGGGCGTGCAGGAGGCAGCTGATCAATGATTCTCTCTCATCATTGATGTTTCTCTCTCTCTCCCTCTTCCTTCCTCTCTGAAATCAATGAATATATATATATTTTTAAAAGTGAGATCTGAAAGAAGAGTAAGGGTCCAGCAGATGAGGGAAGGGATAGTGTTCCAGGCAGTAGTGATACTACCTGAAATGGCTGGAACAAGAAAGAACTTAGAGAATTTAGGAAAATATTTTCAATATGGCTGAACCACAGAGATGTAAAGCAGTAAGGACATTGGGACAGAGAAATAGATGGACTAAAGTTATTTATAACAGAATTGGCATGATTTCGTAGTCAGATGAGACATGTGAGAGATTTCTGGCTTGGGCAAGTGCATGCCTGCCATCACTGAAGAGGTGCGCAGTAAAAGAAGTAGGCTGGGACGAGAATGAAGGAAAGTTTATCTTCAGACAGTTATGTATGAGATGCACATGGGACATTCAAGTGAAGGCAGTGATATCAGAAAGATAAACCATTTAACTGGACAGAAATCCATATTTACTTTCCTTTTCAGTAATAGAATTTTATGTGTCAAGTTTAAATGTTCAGTTAAGGCAATGAAAATATTGGCACTCTACAAAGACATAAAACTGGCTGATTTTGCCTTTGAATGCTTATAGCATAAATATGTATGCACAAATGATAAACATGAAAAAAAAGGCTTGGCCATGTTCATGATAATAAATTGTCAGGTTATCATAGGCAGTGGTTATATTAAACTTGGTATAAAATAAAATTGTTTTTAATACTGCTTTAAATTACATAATATTTAAACTTTAAATGCTTACTGGTAACTGTGAGTTACTTATACCTATATTTCCCAAATTAAGAAAAGGAGACACAGTCTAAACAGTTTGTGAAATGTCCATGAGAATTTTAAGACTTTCATTACAATGGCCTAAAAAAAATATAAGCATATCCTCGATCATTTACATGACCAACTTATAATCCAGTAGGACCACAGAATGGGCATCTATACTTATGTTTATAATTATATTGTTTCAAATAGATATGTAATTGCTGTTAGCCAAAAGAAAAGCATACACATAAAACGTAAGCAGAGCAAAGTGAAGTCTAAATGCCATCACGGTCATGTCAAATTGAAGTTGTGGTAGTAAAAGTAAAAGAAACAACTGAGAGGACTGAGTAATCATGACCATGCCAAAGTCACTAGTCAAGGTGGGGAAGAGCAATTTAGTTGTAGCAAATATCACATTATATTAATACTTTTCTTATAATTGTATTGGTCTTAAAGTACAATAAGTGACTTTGTACCTAGTTTTATGTTGCATATGCCATACATTAATACACTATATTAAAGATAATAAGTTAACATTATAGATCTATGCAATTCTTTTTCTTTTTTTGATATTTAAGTTTGAAAAACTGACTGATAATGAGCCTTCAACTTGCATGCATGTCTCTCTCTCTCTACACACACACACACACACACACACACACACATATGTATCTATATATGTACATATATATATATAATGTGCATCCAATTCGTGATGGAATTTCTCCTGCTATGAGCTCTTAACATGAGAAGCACTTACAGAGCATGGAAGGAAATGTAGGTTATAAAACCCAATTTTTGTTTTAAAAAGCTGGAAGAATACATACCAAATGTTAACTGTTATTATCCTAGATTATAGCATTATGGGTAATCTTTTAAACTTATGTTCTTTTTCTATACTTTCCACAATAAAGATGATTTTGTAATAAAAAAGGCTGCTTTTAAAAAAATGGTTCAATTAGAGCTGTGGTTCTCGACCTGGCTGCACATTAGAATCACTGGAGAATCCTTTTAAAAT